TTGGCAGTATTCCACGAGAAATAGCAACTTTTCTCGGACTTTTAGAACCCCCGTTATACACCGGTCACTGTTTTAGAAGAACCTCAGCCACACTTTTGGCCGAATCAGGGGCTGATCTTCTATCGCTTAAGCGCCATGGAGGCTGGAAGTCTAATTCGGTTGTAGAGGGATACATAGAGGATTCAATCCAAAGTAAATCAAAAATTTGTAATAGTATCGTGGAGGCCATAACGCTGAAAGAACCTCTGTCAGATTCTTGGTCTCGCCCTTCTACATCTAAAATGAGCCCCCATAAGATTGGAAACAATAGCCCTCTCTCGCCAACATTTACGCCAATAGAATCCAATGAATCGGCACAACTATTTAAAATTACTGATACGAGTAGTTTACCACAAAACAGCGCACAATTCACAAACACCAACATAACATTACCTAACAAAAATATTAAACTTAACATAAGTAACTGTAGCAACGTTACATTTAATATTTCTTAATTATTTTCTACTTCTTATTATTTTCTTCAATTTATAGATTATCTTAATGTGTTTTAATTGAAATAAAAATATTTTGTCATTATAAATTGTTTTCTTTTTCATTTTGTCATTTCCTCGCTGAGGTGGGATGAAAAGTTACGTATTGCACTCGAGTGGAAAGATTTTTCACCTTGTGCTCGTTTGTTTCCCTCGCTGACGCTCAGGATTCTAATTTAGAATCACTCGCTGCGCTCGTGATTCAACTTTAGAATCCTTCGCTTGCTCGGTCATCCAAATCGAGCACGCGGTTAAAAAGGAACTTTCCACTCTTGTATAATAAATAACTATTTCATCACATTTGTTCAAAAAATGCATTTACGAAGGTCGTATTCATTGTTCGAAAGTTTACTGTCTGTACGTTTTTTTTTAATTTCGGTCAAACCTTGGAAGTTCTTTTAATCTACACCTTTGTCTCACTTTAATACTTGACGTAGTTCTAATTTGAGCCTAAGACCAAGGGGGCGGCCGGCGAGCGCGGCGCTGAGCTGAGATTTACATAATACTAGCAAACCAGTGAACCAAATGTTCACCAAAAAAAAAAAACAAAAAAAAATCGGAGATTTTGTGTGGTTTCGTTTGAAATAGAAATCACGTGATTTCTCGAAAACCGGAAGTGCTACGTTACTCACATCCGGTTTGTAGTCTTATCAGACTATTCTTAACTTATAACTTAAACATTCTCTATATCTATCTCTTACGGTTTGGCCGCTGAAACAGCACCACGGACGGACGGACGGACTTGTCTATTAGATAAGAGATATTTGTAGTAGGGGAGCCCAAGCGGGGATTTTAGGATTTACTCGAGCGCGGCAGAATAACATATGGGGAGCAACCTTGCACCTAGTTAAGTACTCCCACTATACCTGAGCCGTCTATGTAGGACCGAACGTCTAGGGCAGCAAAAACAAAATTTCAACAATCGGCCATGATTTTTGGTCGGGTCCAGATCGTCAGTCTTTTGAATAGGAGCTACTGGAGGGTTCACGGTGGTTATGTCATAATGTGGTGCGATAGTTGGTAGAGTAAGCCCATCAGAATCCGAAGCCGCTTCGAGATGCAGCCAGCAAGGTCGAATGGGTGGGAAAGACAGGGAGAGGAGAGTACGGTTTATTAATAGTGAGAGGCGAAAGGAAGAGGAGCGGAAACGAAATAGAAAATAAATAAAAGGTTTAAAGGGTGTGAGTAAGAGATGAAGTTTAACAATCTTGCATGAAATACAGCCATTGACGAAATACATCTATATATATAAAACTCAAAGGTGATTTTGACTGACATAGTGATCTATCCACGCACAGCCCAAACCCCTGGACGGATCTGGCTGAAATTTGGCATGCAGGTAGATGTTATGGCGTAGGCATCCGCTAAGAAAGGATTTCGATCAATTCTACCCCCAAGGGGATAAAATAGAGAATGAAAGTTTGTATGAAACTTTGTCAATTTTAAACTGATCGGGCTGAGACTTTGCATGCAGGTATAAGAAGAATCATAGATGAATGTCATTGTGTATAATACAAGCCTGAGAACAAAAACTGTAGTCTACACTTCAGCTCTACACCGAAGCGAAGCGAGGGCGGGCCGCTAATTCAATATAAATTGTCTCACAGACAGACGCCGAACTAAGCTCGCGTTGGGTTAAGCTAGCCCAACATGTAATGGCGTCTTTAATAAATACTTGCCAATTGAAGCTCATTAAATATTAATAAGTATCAGGTCAGCGCCATTACTAAGTCGATACACGAATTGGTCTCTGCCATTTTATCATTTTTATAGGAAAACTTTTAATCGAGTTTCCGTTTGAAGTGTGTTATTAAGTTACTAAGATTTTTTTAACAAAATAATAACACCGGTTTAGTGCTAGTTGGATATTGTAAATAAATAATATCCAACCGTCTGTACGTATCGTGCAAAACTTTAATTTTCAGATCCTAAGACTTTTTTTACATAAATTTAAATTGATTTTATTTTTATATCAAATGGGTACTTATTTGGGATAAATGAAAAACTCTCGTACCCTTTTGCATGGAAGAGTGCGTTATTTAAAGTTTATATAGAGAAGGTAACCGTAAATCTAATATTTTTTATTTAATACTGCATTGAAAAAATACACATTCAAAAAATTGGGGTGATGACGGGAAAGTGAACGAAATTCTATTTATTCCGTCTTAGTTAGTGTCGCCGCACACGGGCCACCGACCACAACCACAAAACGCCGCCACCGGCATATTTCTTGTAGTTTTCATACATGTTATATGGACTCGCCACACACGGTACGCCGGTGGCCGCCACATGCTACAAATCGTCGTTGCTCGCTTCTTGTGGCCCGCACCGGCCACTTAATGCGCCGATACAAAAAGCCGCCACACGTCACTCGCGCGATTCCCCACCTCTCTCTCCCTTACCTTAGTCGGCCGCTGTCGCGCGCTTCAGGCACTTTAGTAGCCGCTTCTAGCTTCTCGTGGCGGCGTTTGTGGCTGTGGCGTGTGGCCCGTGTGCGGCGACACTTAGACTATCAAAAAAAATTGTGTGCGCGGAGCACACAATCTGAAGTGAAACTTCTTTTCTTAATTAACCTAACATTAGGCGTTGCATAAGGCATACGGGAAGGGAGCAGCGCACGCATCACACACAGACAGTTTTACTGAAATTTTCATATTTTATGTAGAATGTTCATCCAAAACCGAATATTTAGTTAAAAATTAAATTAAATTATTTTTCATTGGCGGTCCCATACATAAAAAGGAGACCAAAATATTTTTTTTCTTTGTTACCCCAGCATGTGACACATCGTTGTCTAAAGCTTATTGAGTAAGATATAAATATGATTTTTATTGTCAATAACGATGAAATTGGGGAGCCGTCAAAGTTGTAATTTTTAGACCATTTTCGTTACCATTTATTTTAATCACAAAATCGAAGTTAAAAATGTAAAATTTTGGTATATGATGTCCCATATGCTGTATTTGAACAACAAACACTGAAAACGCCAATTCATAATGTACTTTGTGAGTTGTGACGAAAATAAACAAATAATTTTTTCCAAAGAAAATATTGCTACAAAAAATTCCACGAGGCGGCAGGCGGGACTCGAAGCCGCACACTTCACGGAACACTTCGGAGCGCGGTTACGACTCGAGCTTGGCCTGTTTTTTTTATTTCTGAATCAAATGATACTGCATCATTAGAAAGTACGTGGTAGCCTACCCCCGTACTCATACAGAGTGTCGTTCAAAGAAAAGTGACGGCTTATTTTCATTTCTGTGACGCACACAATGTCATTTGAGTCAGAATTTGATGTGTTCTTCATAGATAATCTTTGTTTTTGAAGTTATACTTCTTTAGCCGCGTTATGAAAAAAATATGAGAGTGAAATTTTAAGATGCGCGCGCATCACTGTAACACAAAAGTAACATTCTGAAGTTAGCCGCGGGCGCGTTATGAAAAAATCATGTGAGTGAAATTTCGAGATGCGCGCGCATCACTGTAACACAATAGTAACACCATGAAGTTGGCCGCGGGCGCGTTATGAATGTTAGTGTCTAATAATGGTGGATTATTCCATCTGTCATTCATATATTATTACATCTGTTCGAAAGGTACTTTGAACGATCCACGGAGCTCCATAAGATGATCGCGTCGTCAAAAACAATGTTGGCACGCTCGTCGCCTCTGATCACTGTTTCCATATTTATAATATTTATCCACATGTTTCTAGTTTCTATATAGACACAACGTGTTTTAGTTACTTACAAGTGCTAATTACATATGGACTAATAACTTAAATTCAGTAGTGATTTTAATTGAATATTTTGAATATTTATTTAATTTTTCAAATTAAAACTGAACTTAATTGACTGTGTTAACTATCCTTTTCCAGTCCTTTTATTATTTTATTGTAATTATTTATTATTTGCATGCAATTAAAAAATATTTTTAATGATGCTAAAGAAGTATAACTTCTCACGCGCGTACATAAGTTACACGCATCCATTTTTTTTAATGTTAAAACTGTGGCAAATAACCTTATTGCCCGCCTGAGGCAAGCGGCTATAAAAGCCTATAGCCGCTTGCGATACCAAAAATATCACTCGCTCCGTCGCCTACCCTGACCCAAACCCCTACCCCGTGGAGCCCTAGTGGTGATGGCTCAATGGAGTTAAGATTATTTTCGATTATGTGCTACTATCTCAGAACACCACAATAAAACTCACTTGTTTATGCCGAAGTTATAAATATTTATTTAACCAAAAGACGTCGAAAATATCGATAAACAAATACTTGCTTATTTATTGCACGTATAGCTGTTCACCCACGCATTAACTATGCAAACTTTGCACCCCTATATAAAGGGGTTTGAACAGGAAACGGCCATTCGCCCATCAGCTGTTCGCACCGCGCCATCTTGGAGCGGGAAAACTTTGACATTTGACTTAATAGCGGGCACCAGGTTTTTTCTTAAATTTCAACAAAATGTTCAAGATCACTGCTATAGTTTCACTCGTCCTTATCGGTAAGTTTTTTTTTTATTCGTTCTACAGTGAACTTTTTTAATACATCGGCTCAAAGTTTTTAGTTTATCAACATGTCGCTTAGAATTATTAAAAAAAAAACAGATTGATCCAGAAGCGTCGGTGCTTCGGTAGTAGAAAGCTTGCCTGATACGTGGGTGGGCGGGTTCGAACCCCAGCCGAGGAAAGACTGTTTTTTTTAAACATTTTGACTGACATTGTTACTTTTAGTCAAAATAAATTACACCTTTTATTATCTCTGTTATGTATCTACGATTGTTTGAAAACTTGTAGAATTTAATTAATTAAAAAAACCCCGAATCTTAAATATACGTTTCAATATTTCATGCTAAGGTATAAGGCATAAGAAAATCTCTGTTAATCTATTTTTTTATATATTTCAATAAGTATCATGATTAAATTCAATTGTTTTCTAATGATATTAAATAATTTCTTGCCAGCGACTTGGTCGCAAGCATATTCTAAAAGGAATAAAAAGGATACTCGTCCTTCAGAAGATTACGACTCAGGTAATTTAGACAATGTTAGCGAGTGCAAGTTCGTACCTTCTTAGAGAAACTTTCAAGTTAGTTTGAGATTAAAATGCATGTTGTTCAGGAACGCTTTGTACTTCTGTACCCTTAGCACGAACCAATATCGAATTTGTAACGTTTGCGAGTCCGAAATGTCATTGTCAAATGTGTTAGGGGTGGGCGTTTTTAGAATAACGATGCGCAATAACGATGCCAGGTTTGGATGCGCGCATCCGATGCCTCTACCGTTATCGGATGCCGATGCCATCTAGTTTTTGTCAACGTTACTAAACTACAGTGCCACAAACTTATCTGTGCTGGTGGAGATGTCGCTAGCGGTGAACAAATGTGTCAAAATGCTATGGATAAATTGTAGTTCAAATTTTTGCCATTGGCACAGAAAAGTTCGTGACACTGGTCTGCGTTCAAAACCAACGCTCTGAGTGCAACTTTTCAGGTAACAATTTTTTGCCAACATTCAATATTTTCAGTTACTATGCCGAAAAAAAATCCGCATTTCACAAGATGGGCGTTTTTAGAATAATGATGCGTGAACGTGATAATGATGCCAGGTTTGGATGCGCGCATCCGATGCGGCTAGGTACCGTTATTAGATGCCGATGCCATATAGTTTTTGTCAACGTTACCCTATCGCATCGCATCGCATCCTGTGATACTATGATACTGATAATCATTTGGCATCGATGCGATGCCGGCATCGGATGCCATTTATCTGATATCGATGCGCATCGATATCACAAATATCTAAAAACGCCCATCTCTAAAATGTGTACTGATTTTTAGTTCTCGTTACGTACTTTGTGGAACTGCTGTTCAAGTTTCCATACAAAATTTGACATTGATATTTCTCACTCGCAAACTGTTCGAATTCGATAATGGTTCGTGCTAGGGGTACTGTACTTATTAGACGTTAGGAATTTTGTTTTCTCTCTGTATTTTTCTATGAACATGTTCTTAATTTCGAATGATTTTTTTAATGATACCTATTTAGATAAAACGGTAAATTAGCTATGTAGTTTTTCTACTACTAAACTACTGCATATTTTAAATCTAAAGAGAAATTTACTAGAAAAAATTCCACGCGGACCAGGCAGCAGGCGGGACACGAACGGGTATCCTCCGCTATTCGAGCGAATGCACTGACCATTATGCTATCGCGGCTCTAATAGGCTAGTTGACTCATGTCGAATTGTATTAAATAAATGTTTATTTCTTAAAGTATTTTGTCTAAGGAACCTAAATATATCGATTTCACTTCATAAAAGCAGAAGATTGCTGTAGAAATTTAATTTAAAAAAACAATTTTTAGTCTATACTTTTTAAACACTAAAAACGCTGTTCGCCACATCCGCCATGATTGTGACGTCTGTTTTAGTAAACAACTAAATGTCATTCATACATAACTTTAAAACTTGTATTATTAAAACTGATAATAAATGAAGAGACTTAAAATATTATTCAATGAGTATTTACATCAAAGTGATCTTCACAAAAATAAATTTTACTATGAGTCGTTAAAGTTGCAGGATCCCTTTTAGCAAGTTCTAACCAGATATTGCGTAGGTTAATTTCTTTCGGCACTTTAATCCACAACTTTCCTGGAGTCTTCAAAGATTTTTTTTTACACTCTCGTACAATACAATAATAATAATTACTATATTTTTCGTGGTATCTATTAGATATCATGTTTTCTTTTTATTATAAACTCAGATGGGTTATTTTCTACGTGCTTACGAGTTTTTGTTTACTACTGTCAACGTCATAGCATAGATAATCTATAGACTAAAATGCGTGCGGCAGCGTTTTTGTATGTCCATGAAAAGTCTATTTTAAAATTAAAGATTTGTAGCTTGTAGGTCTCAAAAAAATACAATACATTTTTTTCGGTCTAATAGAACATTTATTAACCATTCAAAACCTTTTTCCAAAAAGGGTCAACTAGCCTATTGTCCGTGTCGAATTTTCTCTAGCATTTTTTAGGCTGCAAGACAACGCATCCCTTTGCATTGTAGGAAACCCACAAAGCCTAAAAAATAAAAGTATTATTGCATACTTTTTTGTTAAATCGTTTTATAGAAACTCCATCCTCCAAGGCCATTTTCGGCCTTTTTTTTCTCTACAAATCGAACGTTAGTTTATATAGAAATACCTTTTTTGCGATAAGCTTGATATGTAAAGCTGTCGCCTACTCAGAGGTCCTGGGTACGAACTCCGGTTTATATGTACCTATATTATATTTCTACAAAATATACTTAAATATACACACATCAAAAAAAGTTTGCGATCACTTTGAAAAATAGATTGTTTTTTGTGTTACAGTACCCCTAGCACGGACCAATATCGAATTCGTATCGTTTGCGAGTCCGAAATGTCATTGTCAAATGTGTACTGATTTTTAGTTCTCGTTACTCGTTAACTATAAAATCAATTGTAACTATATATTTATATTCTAAATGATGTAATGGAAAGTGACTTCAGACGTTTTTCTGAAGTCATTTTTCAACTTGACGACTCTGTATATAACAATACAGGGAGACAAAAGCAGCCCTTGCTGAGTTTCTTGTCGGTTCTTCTCAGTACAAGGTCTCCCGCCGTAGTTTTGCGAACCGATGGCGTAGCTTCTTGACCTTCACAAGTACTTGTAATAGCCTAGACTGAATAAATGACTTTTCGTTTCATTTCATTTTATTTAATTACGTACTTTGTGCCGCTCCTGTTCAAGTTTCCATACAAAATTTAACATTGATATTTCGGTTTGCAAACTATTCGAATTCGAAAATGGTTCGTGCTAGGGGTACAGAAGACCTTTTCGTAATTTCTTTTTCGAACGTAAAACAACAAAATAATTCAATTGTTTTAACAAAATAATGCAATCCAAGCTGACACTCATTCAGAAATCTGACTTAGTCAATATTATCGAGTTTAAAATATTTTTAACGGAAAGTTGTGATTTAAAAATGCCACGAGATCAGATCAGATGTTTTACAAGCCAGAATTGTAACTTTGAGGGAAGAAGGCTACTCTACGAGAGAAATAGCACGCAGAATTGCCATATCCCAATCCTGTGTAGTAACCACGTTGCAGAGGTACCACGGCATGGGTAATTTAGCTGATCGACTTAGCAGCCACGGTAATAATATCATACAGTATTCTATCTTCATACAAACGGTCGGAAAGCGAGTCATACCTACGCCACTCGAGTTCGATGTGCTCTCGGCGGGCACCCAGTCGCGAATGCGCCGCCGCGCAGCAACGACGACCGAACGGTCTGAATTGTTTTTTATGCAGTTAGCCGTGCTTAAACGTGTTTTGTATTGTAAATATTTGATTTCATTAAGTAGATACCTACATAATTTAGTATGGAAAAGAACATCAACGACGATCAATATCGTACAACAGCACAATTGCTGTTTTTGGTTGCTTGAACTCTTCAATAACACACCCAGAGCTATCATTTTTTAAATTACCTGAAATATTGGAAAGGTGTTACCTTACCTTTATAGATTTTTTTTATATACCTATCTACTAGTACGTAATTTGTTTCTAATATTTAGGTATTTCGGTTTTTCCATCGGCCAAAATATCTGGAATAATATATAAATACCTAAGTGGTTAGGATGAAAAAAGAGATAGACGAGTAATCTACCTACACTCGCGTTAAAAACAAAACTACAAAAATACTGTAGGCGGGCGGCCCTACCGCGTGCCAACGCAGCGCTCGGTGTAGGCATTTATATCAAGGATAGGGTGGAGTCACAATACTGTATAGATAATATTACCGTGTCGCAGCGGTCGCCCAGCTATTTTGACAGCTGCTCAGAAGCGCTACATCAGGTTGCTGGTAGCCCGCGACCCAACAATAAACGCCACTAAATTAAAAGCAGAAATACGGGCCGCCTCCGGACTTGAAGATAGCATTCAGACTGGCTAAACTGTACTTCCAGGGCCCAAGTGGTGATACTTCAAACTAGGTTAGGTTAGTGCTGTGATCACAACGCGCGAGCCGAGCGAGCGAAGCGAGCGTGCCGCGGCAGCGGCCGGCGAAGCACCAGAAAAAAACTTTGTTTTAAAAGAGACCTTTTCTACAAAAAGTTCGAGTATCACCTCTTGGGCCCTGGAAGTACAGTTTTACACGAGCTGCTGCTGCTGCTTGCTGGACTACGAGCCCGGAGGTCTTGGATGCTTTAGTTATTTTAAAAAAAATCATTGATTATCACCAATTAACAAAAAAAAAAAACAATACTTACACGACGTGAAGCGTTTTTTTACACACTTTTACACATAATCCGGTAACGGTCGTTGGCAAAAATAAATGAAGTCAGCTGTGTAAACAAGATGGCTGTCTAAACGTCAAATGAAAGTAAGCGCGCTTCGTTTCACGCCCATTTTTATTGACTTATATTAAAACTATATCCAACCCGAAAATTTCGGGACTAAAATACGTCATCATCCAATCCTCTAGCCATAACACAAGCCTTTACAGTGCTTACTTTGGGGCTAGGATTTAAGATCAAATTTGTTTCTTTATATTTTTTAAAGTATTTTGTATAAAAGTTAATTAATATAAAATTAAGACTGCAATATTACTTACGTTATGTAAGAGTGGTTCCTTCTGGTACAGGTGTTAAACACTTAAACAAAGAAACACCCACCCTGGTTTCGTGTTAAGGGGAAGCGAAGCACTGCTGGGGCGCAGGCCTTCCCTATGGATGGAATAGGGAGATTGGGCCATGACCCACCACGCGGTCCCAGTGCGGATTGGCGGGTGCTAACGACTGCAGATGCAGCCGGGACCAACGGCTTAACGTGCCTTCCGAAGCACGGAGGAACTCGAGATAGAAGAATTTTGGTCACCCATCCAATGACCGACCACTGCGAAAGTTGCTTAACTTCAAAGATCGCAGCCGAACGCGCTAACCACTCGCGCCATCGAGCTCCTCTATTTATAGTGTAAAAAGGGGGTGTAAACTACTAAATAAAAAAAATCGGTTGTCTGCAAAGTCGGTTTACTGACGATAGTTGAACGTGACAACGTTTTTTTACAATAAACATAGTTTTTACTTTTCACTGCACTTCATACTTGACGAAAACATATAAATGTATTATTGTAAAGCAGCTGTCCACGCGGACGCATCGCTCACTCAAGTAGGAGACAGACAGATGTCGAACGCGGAGGCCGATTGTGCCTCTTTGTCGCTCGTTGTGCGCTCTCACTTGCACTTCAAGCCTTAAATGGAACGCCTCAGAGCGAGGTAACCCCACATGAGTCATGTTTTTTCGTGCGTGCAGCCGGCTCCATCGTATTATAAGACGTTGTCACGTCAAATCACCCTATTGGTGTGAGTGTGAGTGTTGGAGGAGCTCGATGGCGCGAATGGTTAGCGCGTTCGACTGCGATCGTTGAAGTTAAGCAACTTTCGCAGTGCTCGGTCATTGAATGGGTGACCAAAAAACTTTTAACCCGAGTTCCTCCGTGCTTTGAAAGGCACGTTAAGCCGTTGGTACCGGCTGCATCTGCAGTCGTTAGCACCCGCCAATCCGCGCTGGGCCCGCGTGGTGGGTCATGGCCCTATCTCCCTATTCCATCCATAGGGAAGGCCTGTGCCCCAGCAGTAGGGACATTAATAGGCTGATGATGATTTACTATCATCAAAAGAAAATTTGCTTCAAATGCGTTAAATTAACAAACATTGATAAGATACCTGTCCAAAAACGACATTTTACATACTATAAGTATTTATTACGCATTTTTTCACGGAGCTCCGCGGACCGTTGAAAAGTCAACATGCCGCTGAGCTCAGCGGCATGTTGACTTTTCAACGGTCCGCGCGTGACTGTGAACCAAGAAGTGCTTGAGTCGAGATCAAGCACTTCTTGATTGGGACACATTTCGAGTGTACGTGGTGTATCTAGGGAATGGGTGATGACGGGGTACAGTAAACGAAATTCTATTTAGTCCGTCAGTTAGACGATCAAAAAATAATGGACACGTATTTTTTCTTTGGGCAATCAATCAAAAAATGACAAAGTTATAGCGCGTCAAAGTTTGGGAGTAGGGGCTCGTGACGTCACTTTTGTGTGAATTTTCCCTTATAAGTGTACTCAAACGTGACGTCATGCGACTTTTCAAATCAATATATCTCTGCAATGCTTATATTATATGAAAAAAGAAAAAATACGTTTCCAATACTTTTTGATAATCTACCCGATAAACAAAGAAAAAAAAATTAGTCATCATCCCTATTATCGTTGGTAGTTACACCTAATATAAAAACACTATTTGTATTTATACTGTATGACACAGCAAATCTATATGTAGGTGAACAAATAATGTATATCCCACATTTTATCGTAATATTTGTTTTTTCGGTCATCTCAGGTAGCACCCTCTGGGCTTCTGGCTTATCATGCGACTCCTGTGGCAGTGAGTGCTTGTCTGCTTGCGGCACCAGGCACTTCAGGTCTTGCTGCTTCAATTACTTGAGGAAGAAGAGAGGACCGGACGCGGTTAAAGTGAGTCCAGGGACAATAGGGTATTTGACAGTATTAAAAATAAAGTGCCAATTGTTAGCATCTGTGATTAGAATGAATATTGGCAGGGATTTTCACTATTTTTACAGAAAAAATATTCATAATTTTACTAAAAACTCACGAAAAAGATAATAGTTTTCTTATCTATTGTCACGTGAAATGACGTCAGACGTTAGTAAACTTCCGGTTAAAGTGACATTACATTGTATCGTTTGACGTTTAAATAACAGTCGTGTGACGTCACACACCAGTGAGACGGCATATTGTCCAGAGAAACGTTTTCACGGCAACTTGTAAATAGATCAGTGCATTCGCCCGGATTGCGAAGGGTGCGGGTTCGAGTCCCGTCTGCTGTCTGGTCCGCGTGGAATTTTTTCTAGTTATATTTTCTTTAGATTGAAAATAGAGTTTTTGATTTGGTTATTTTTACTGAAATACATAACAGAATGATGAATATCCACTTTTTACAGACTCCATAAACATTAGTCAATAACGTGAGATTGTTTTCTAAAACTTGTCAAATACCCTATTCATGTAAAGCGGCCAGCGAAAAAATTAGTTTTAATAAAAATAGAACCGACTTAAAAATAATTGAGACTGAAAAAATAATATAGAAACAGGATCTGGTATATAATTTCAAACCACACCCCGTCACTAGTCACCGTTTAGGGCTAGGCTAATTGTTTTTTTTTTCTAAATGGCTACGCACGGCTTCTGCATTTAGCCAATGTCAAGTGTTAAAATGTTTACAAATTCTATAGCACTCGTGGTCAAAGTAATAAATCAAGTCAAAGTAAGTGGCAGTCAAGTCAATCCCCCTTTCCCTATGTTTCAGTAAATGTGTGGAATTTACTGGAATCTCCCCGCGGACTTCTTGAGGGAACGTCGAAAGACACTTTCCGCTATTTTGTTTCACTTGCCAACATTTGTGCATGTTCCCGAACACTTAGTAGTTAATAATCCACCATTATTAGACACTAACATCCGCCACAACACATTTTTTAACAAGCAAAACAAAACTGCTAAAGTGACGCTTCCCGATCCCGCCAAAAAGTCCCCGATTTGAATATTAGAAATATTTATTGATTTATATTTGTTTTACAGCTCTGGTCACCAAGTTTTCAAGACAAAGGCAGTCGGCAGGAGCGGCTTCCGATGTTCGCTGTTAAATCTGTGGCTGAACCGTGGTATTCGAATGCAGTAGCGAGCAACAATAAACCATTTCCATATGACGATACGCTCGAAAATCACTTTCAGTTAGTGTACGATGTTTAAAAAATAAATTTCTTTTCGTTTTCTTTTTTCAAATATAATATGTACAAGGCTGCGATATCATAGTGTCGTTGTAAGATTGAAAATTCGAAGGAGTTTCGTTGTTGTAATAAACTTTTTTTTTATGTTTGCAAAGTTCACAATACGTAATAAGGAGTGGTCTTTGCAGGCGAATAAAAGAAAAAAAAAGAAAAAAACAAAATGGCGAACGGATTTAATGACATAAAGTTTAGGAAGCCGACTTAAATTATTATCTGTAAGTCAATTTCTTGGTAAATAAAGACAATTTTCTAATTGTTTTTAAAAAGTTTTGGCATTGCGGAACTTTAGTGAAATAAGGTTTCAAGACGGATGACAAAATAATTGTTTCACTTCAATTGGTTGAATAATGGTATGAAATATCCAATAAATATGCTTCATAAGTTTTTTATTAAAATTCCATTGTCCATTGAATAATTATGGAGATTAAAGACGCCAATAAGATTTTTGGTACTTAATTCCATTATATGTAATTGAATTTCGGGGTAATTTGTAGGGGAGGGGGAGGGGGGGCTCCCCCCGACCCCCCGCCATAAAAGATTTTTGGCGGAAATGCAGTTTTTTTTTACCTAACCTAAAAATTCATTAAATCTGTTATATGTAGTGGAATTTCAGGGGGATAGGTATTAGGGAAGACCCCTCAGGGAGAAGGGTCGTTTTTTTTACAGAAATGATAATTATAAAAAAATAGAAAGGTTTTAAAGGTAAAACTGTACTTCCAGGGCCTAGAGGTGATTTTTGATTTTTTTGTAGAAAAAGTCTCTATTAACGAATTTTTCTTTCTGGCGCTTCGCCGGCCGCTGCCGCGGCACGCTCGCTTCGCTCGCTCGGCTCGCGCGTTAAGGTCACAACACTAACCTAACCTAACCTAGTGTGAAGTATCACCACACAAGTGGCTCATTAGAGTCCAAAACTCGCACTACACTCGACTCTTCAGGCGATGGGACAGCAAGACTCGAGGCCGAAGGCTTTGAGGATGCCATGGTAGTCAGACGATGTTAATATCAACAGGAGTACGAAAAAGCTCTCAACTGCGACGAACACAAACACTGACTGACAGATCTCATTAATGGCGGTAAATTGTCACATTTTGACAATAGTACCAACATAATAAACTTATATTTACCATAGACAACGAGAATCATGTTATTTTTGCATAAAAAAATGGCAGCACTGATCAAAATTGCTGTCAAAATTGACTCATAACCTACAAAAATATTAATTTTCAATAATTTTTTTCTCGAGTTCTATTCGTTTCCGCCTAAAAAGATTTCGTGTACGTGTTTTTAATAGTTAATACTTTGCGTGACAAAAATTTCAGCTTGCAACTCAATTACATATAATGGAAAGCTGAGCCAGATTTTTTCTTAATTAGTGAATAAAAACTCGTAGACTGCATAAAGCTTATTCAACCAAGTACATTTATTTAAAATTTTATATAATATGTTTTAAATTATGATCCTGTGTTATCAGCCATTATAAAAAAAAAATTGCTTGGTTGCACGCCCCTTCTGTCGTTGCGACTTGATGTACGCGGAAGAAAATTCCTTCAGTAACTTTACTGGATAGTAGTCTCACTTGCAACACAGAGTGCTTTAATTATAGTTAATGATTGAATTGATAATTATAATTAATTTCGATTATTTCATTATTTATAATCACTAACATGTGAGATACAATATCAAACGTATTTTACTCTATTTTGGCTGGAAATAGGGTAAAATATTGAAAACACGTTGGCAGCGAATTCTAAAAAAACTAATTAACTAAAACGATTGAACTAATATTATGATGAAGGTAGTTCTAATGAAATTTTAGAACAAAATTATATTGTAACGATATTGAAAATTTAAAAAAATCTTTGGTATCCTGAATTCTGTTTTTTCTTTCTACCTAATATCGTCATCATTAGCCTGTTAATGTCCCCACTGGGGGGGGGGGACATGCCTTCCCTATGGATGGAATAGAGATTGGGCCATAACCCACCACGCGGGCCCAGTGCGGATTGGTGGGTGCTAACGACTGCAGATGCAGCCGGGAACAACGGCTTAACGTGCCTTCTGAAGCACGGAGGAGCTCGAGATAGTAAATTTTGGTCACCCATCCAATGACCGACCACCACGAAAGTTGCTTGACTTCAACGATCGCAGCCGAACGGACTAAACACTTGCGCCATTGAGTTCCTCTATATTACTTATATACTTACACGTAAATAAGTGTCTCGTCTGTCTGTAGTTTCACGCCTCACTCGCTAAACTAATTTTGATGAAATTTGCTGTAAAGGTAAACAGTGTGTTGGGAAAGAACTAAGGCTAGGTTTAAGGAAGGATAGTGTTACACTATCCTCATCATCACCAGCCTATTAATGTCCCCACTGCTTTTGCATAGGCCTTCCCCCTGAATGGAATAGGGAGATTGGGCCATGACCCACCACGCGGGCCCAGTGCAGATTGGCGGGTGCTAACAACTGCAGATACATCTGGGACCAACTGCTTAATGTGCCTTCCAAAGCACGGATTGGCTCGAGATAGTAAATTTTTACCAACAAGTACAAAGATCACTTTGGCTCAGACACTTTTACTTTCCATTATCGACTACGCTGATGTTTGTTATACTGACATATCTGAGGAACTCCTAAACAAGCTGGAACGTCTGCAGAATATGTGTATCAGATTCATTTTTAATCTACGTAAATATGACCATGTGTCTCACTTTCGACACAAACTAAAATGGCTTCCTATTCGCCGACGCAGGGACTTACACACTCTTACGGTTCTCTATTCTGTACTTTTCCTTCCTACTTCTCCGCCCTATCTAAAAGAATGTTTCTCGTTTCTTGATTCCAAATCAGAACGCACTTTGCGGTCCTCTTCAAATCTAACCCTTGCAGTCCCACTCCATTCAACTGATTTCTTTTCATATTCCTTCTCTGTGCATTCTGTTCGCTTGTGGAACTCACTACCTGAAACAATCCGAAAGGCTCGCACTCTAAGCTCGTTTAGTGATCAAGTTAGAGGTTATTTCCTTTCCCAACTTTAAGTCTTACCTCTCTCTTGTCTCTCTCTTTGTATATATCTATTACATCTATTATTCATTATTTATTTTACCATACCTGCTACACCTCCCCCCCTTCTTGTTCCTCTTATTTATTTATTTCACTGTCATGGGTTGCCTGGAAGAGATTGCTGTTTAGCAATAAGGCCGCCTATTGTGTACGTTTTCACTGTCATGTTTAATGTCTTGTATGTCCTGTGAGGTGTATGTCAATAAAGAATATTATTATTATTATTATTATTTTTGGTCACCCATCCAATGACCCACCACTGCGAAAGTTGCTTAACTTCAACGATCGCAGCCGAACGCGCTCACCACTTGCGCCATCGAGCTCCTCAGTGCTTATATACTCGTACGTGGACCAGTTACGGCCCAAACTCTTTATTCCATTCATAGGTAAGACATGTGCCTAAGCAGGGGTGACATTAATCTCTTATCTATTAGACAAGTCCGTCCGTCCGTCTGTCTGTGGTGCTGTTTCAGCGGCCAAACCGTAAGAGATAGATAAAGAGTATATTTAAGTTATAAGTTAAGAATAGTCTGATAAGACTACAAACCGGATTTGAGTGACGTAGCACTTCCGGTTTTCGAGAAATCACGAATTTCAAACGAAACCACACAAAATCTCCGAAGTTCTCAATTAATTGAATACATTTTTTTTTAAATCAGTTTTTGGTGAACATTTGGTTCACTGGTTTGCTAGTAGACTGCTAATAATGATAAATATGTATCGTTTTTTTGACACTTTCCGAACTCAAATTATTTTTGAAGTTATACTTCTTTAGGCGCGTTATGAAAAAATGATGAGAGTGAAATTTTAAGATGCGCGCGCCTCACTGTAACACAAAATTTTAACAGCATGAAGTTGGTCGCTTTAGCGATCAACTTCATGCGTTACTTTTTAATCCAGTCATTTCGTCCGAAAAAAAGGCAAATAAAAGAAAATGAATTTGCGCTTCTAATTTTTTAATATGTTGTAGGGGATACCTAGAAAAGCTTAACTTGAGATTGTCGACCAAGCTTTCCTAGGAGCTTTCGCCGCCATCTTGGAAAACGCTTAAAATTTTTCGGCAATAACTCAGCTATCCGATGAGATTCGAAAATTTTTGTAGGACACTTTTTGTAGCTTTCTTTGTGCTCTACAATAACGCCCGAACCATTTTTAGCGTATCATGCATCGTTATCGAGATATCGTTCGATAAAGTCAAAAATTTAGGACACAATTTTTGTTTTTAGCTTTTTTTTTCTTTGGGTCTTAATAAATATGAAAAATTGTGGAATTCAAACTTGTAGAGCATATTCAGACCTACAATTTCCTTCTTGGATTTTTTTATGTTGGACAAAAATTACGATCTCCAGCGCGCCGCAAAGTCGGTGAATCCACGCTCAGCGTCGAGCGCGCTCAAGTTAGTATATCGTATCGTGTTGAGTTTTTGCTGTGCGTAGTGTAAATGTTGGGTTCCGATATTCTGGGCAAAAATTTCGATATCTCTCATCGAATCAGCATCATTTCCAACGGTTCAACAGACACAAGAGTTTACGGAGGACGAAGATCTTCAGCCTGGACCATCCAAGCGAAAAAGGACATAAAAAAAGTCCATCGTTCGTGTCTCGAGTGCAGAAAAAAATATTTTTCTTTCCGTTTATTTTGTTTTGTTTATTTTGTATTGTAAAAAAATATTTTTTTTTACTGCACAAACAAATTATTTGTTTAATAAATTACTATTGTGTGATCCTTAATTTGTTGCTCTATGTACTTATTTTTATCCCATCAATTTCCTGAACAATTTCACATTCGATTCGACATCCAGACACAACCGAGCGAGCAGCTCGCTCGACGCCGAGTGTGATTCACCGACTTTGCGGCGCGCTGGAGATCGTAATTTTTGTCCAACATAAAAAAATCCAAG